AGGTGCGTTCTACATGGTCTCCCTGAAAACAAGACCAAGTTGCGACAACGAGGTCAACCCACTTCTTTCCTTGTTGTGTTGCTAAACCGTTAAGAATTCGTCTATATACTCAACAAATAAAATCACTTTTTAAATTAGGTAACTTTATAATTAGCCATGTAGTTAATTGATAAAATTGAAGATAAACACGATCCTATAGTTGAGCCTCGTGTTTATTCATCTCATTGATCATTTAGTTTAGGATGATAGTGTTAATCACATAATAATCTTAATAACCATGAGAAATCCATGTTTTTTTAAAAAAAGGATCCATTATTCGATATCAATAATGAGATATCTGTACTAATTAAATGGACTTTTGTAACGATCTAACTAGTCAACGAAAATTCCATCAAAATTTTTTAAAATACAATTTCAGATTAACTCTTTTGAGATAGTGAATACAAGAAAGAGAAGTTGAATTTTATTACATAACCTATTTGAAAAACACGATTTCGCGTTGCCAACATTTTGTTTTAACCAGGTCCATTCTCTTCTGTAACTTTTCGATTGCCTCTTTATTCATGTCACTTCGTTTCCCTACTTTCGAGTCCCTAATATTCCGAAAGTGTTTAAATAATATCTTCGCGATATAATTTTTGTTTTTTATTTATACTTTGTAGTTAAGAATGCGTATCTAAACTCGTGACTAGTTTTATGTAGCTAATATCAATCATTTGAACCAATAATCGTACTGTTCCATGTCTTCCGTCAGGCCTATTCTTCTGTAACATTCCACTAATTATTGACTATTGTTTTGAAATGGGCGCTCTTTTGGACACACCTCAGACTGAAAAATACAATGAAACAGGAAGCGGCAATGGATTGCGTTATGGTATTGGAAGCATGCAAGGTTGGCGCATATCCATGGAAGATGCTCATTGCGCTATAACTCAGCTTCCAGGAAACCTAAAAGGATGGTCCTTTTTTGCTGTTTTTGATGGCCACGCAGGTGCTCTTGTTTCGGAACTGTGTGCCGCCGAGCTCCTCAAGGCGAGTTAAATGGACGTTCTAATATCCTTACTTTGTAGTGCATTATTGGTACTGAAGAATTCAAAAAAATTGATCCAGATCTTGCTCCAAGTATTCCAGAAATTGAAAGGGGAATTCGGGAGGGCTTTCTTTCGTTGGATGAACAGTTAAGGCAACTTCCGCAGGTGGCTAGTGGCGAAGATAAATCTGGTTCCACAGCGGTTTGTGTACTAATTACTCCCGAGCATATATTTTTTGCAAATTGTGGCGATTCTAGGGCTCTTATTGTTAGAGATGGTCGAGTAGCCTTTGCGACTACAGATCACAAGCCGGTTAATCCAAATGAAAAGCAGAGAATACAGAATGCAGGTGGTTCTGTGATTGTTCAAAGAGTTAATGGCTCATTGGCGGTATCTAGGTATGTATTTATTCTGAGATATTTTAAGTGTGATGCTAGTTTCTACTTCGATTATTTATGCTTTTATATTGTCGAGGCTGCCCGATATTAGTTGAACTTGAAACATTTAATTGGTTAACGTTTTATAATTTCATCCTTTAGTGGTAATATTTTATTTGCATTTATTTCTTATTATTTTTTTCAAACTAGCACCTTTATGTTCCTTACTTATTTATCATTCTAAAGATCACTTGGAGACTATGCCTACAAAACTGTTGAAGGAAAGGGACCTACGGAGCAGATGATT